TTGAGGGGGGGGGGGCAGTGAGAGAGAGAATGAAAGAACAGACTGAAAGTTAAAGCCATATATAGATAAAAAGAGAAAGAAACAAATTAAGCATTCCTATGCATTTACTGTGATTAACAGGATCGATTTTATTGCTCCCTGCTTTTATGGGGTGGCGCAGCTGTTGCCTGGACACAGGTGTGCCCAGTTTTGTCTCTGTCTTCTGGCTGCCTCTCTAGATAAAGCAATTATTGCATAGGCCTAGCTAAAGGTGAGGCAGCGTGGTGAAATCAGGCACTCGTCAAAATAATGAAACTCGAGAAACTGGCGGCTCAACACCTCTCATGCCCTTTAAAAAATACATTAATGTGTGAATTTTACTGAAACGCCTTGAGTAAAGGCATAAAAGATGTAAATTTTCAGTTTCCACGGACTCTCGATCTAAGGAAATAATTCAACCTGGGCGGCCATTTTCTCCCTAATCTTACGTCTGAAATTAGGCGATCCTCACCACCTTCAATCGCCAATATCTTGACTTGTATCCAAGATAAATGGACATTTTTTTCATCAAAAGCAAGACAAAGGAACAGGCTTTAAGATAATGCCAATAACTCCATATGTCCCAAAATTGACGAGTGCCTGATTCCACTGCATCGTAACACATGTAGGGTTTATAGATATTGTCGCTGCATGGTGGAATCAAAGGCTCGTTCAGCTTTTAGGTGCTTGGAGTTATTGCTATCAAATTACAATATGTTAGGTTTTTATTGAACATGTCGAAGAAATAATTATTATTGATCAATTTTTACATTGAAATGAAGACATGTGCGATAAAGGAAGGTCTGCTATTATTACAGGTGAAATTAGCAAGGCAATGGCCGCCAAAGTTTGGTGACTTTTAATCTTAAAGCTGAATACACGCGCTCATTCTTCAAAATAACACATTTCTAGCTTCAAACAAACTTTTTCTGTAAAAATTCACCCGTAAATGTGTTGTTTGATAGATGGAAAATGTTTCCGTGCAAAGAAAATTTTTTTAAAAAGGAAATTCAATGAAAATAACCCTGCAGTCGGAAAAATTACTGATTTTTCTTTGCCTACGAGTGCCTGATTTTACCACGATGACTGACATATGTTCCGATCTGACCGAAGATTGCTATTTTTATTTTTATAGAAGTGATAATGGCATAAACAAACAGATGTTCATTGCAACAGTAGAAGTCAGAAGATAATATCGTACTGTAATAAAGTTCATTTATAGCTTCCATCCCAGTGTGGTGCTAAGAGCTTTGCAATAATGTCCATAACCAAAAACTGAATATGCGTACAGTCAAAGATAGTACAAGACAAGATGGGCCACTCAGCCTAAAAAGTGTCCGCAGGAAGTATGCTCTTTGCTTCAGATGGCGCTGCAGTCTGTTTTGAAGCTCTCTTTCGTTCTTCCAGAAGAAGAATAGGAATAGCACCTCCTTGCGTGCGCAGATCGACTGCTGTTCATCAGCAGTTCGGGTATGTTCAGTGCGGAGTTTTAGGTTTTTTAGAATTTTAATGACCTCTCGCCCTTCATTCTAAAGTCAAATTAAACGAAGAAAACCATCTCCTTTTCCTCCGGAAGAGGTTTTTTGTCAGCGTAATCATTTTAAAAAAGCGTTCTTCCGAAATTTATCCCAAAACTTGCTAGTTTCACTTTGATTTTTAAAAACTCAAGTAGGGTAACTCTGTTCGCAAAGAGTGCGCTTTTGTGAAGAGGGCACCACCAAATTTTGAGGACACTTTTTTAATTGGCTCAAAGAGAGAAGTGGCCCATCTTGTCTTGTACTATCTTTGGTACGGTCAAATCTGCTCTCTCGTGGGTGGTTGGTGGGGGCTCTGGTGTGGTTTGCTTCTTCTTTTCTATCCAACATCTATCGTCCTTATATCTCTCCTCCTTCTTTTTTGTGTTTGCTACTGTCTTGTAACACCTCTTGTAGTCTTCTGGCACTCATATGACCTTATGACCTCACTCACTCACTCACTCACTCAATCTGTCCTTCTAAAGACTTGCGTTCTCTCTGTGACAGGAAGTGGCTTCATCAGTAGTCAAGAGATCGGAGGAATTGTGGGATCTCTCATCACCGGCATCATCTCAGACTACCTCGTTGCCAAGGTAACACTAACAGTTAGACTAAGATAGCTGCTCTCTGAGCCCTCTACTCTGTTTACTCTGTTTAGTATTACACAAATCAGCGGTGAAGGGATGTTATTATTTGTTATATATCAGGGGGAACGAGGGGTGGGGTTGGAGGGGAGGGGAGGAGAAGAGGTCTGATGGGATATGTGTCGTAACACAGTGGAATGAGGCGTGTGTCAAATTTTAGGCATATGTGTTATGACAAAGTGGAATCAGTGCTTGTCAATTTCAGGCAGATGGAGTTATTGGTATTATCTTTAAAGCTTGTTAATTTGCCTTGCTTGAGAAGAAAAAGTACCCGTCCATTTTACATTGAAGCCGAGATATTTGTCATTGTTGAATGAGATGAGAGTCACCTGGTATCAAATTTTTCAAAATGTTTCTGTAAAATACGCTCATAAATTTATGTTTAGATGGATATTAAATGTGCTAGGCTAAAAAAAAATGTTGGATAAAAATTGCCCACTGGGTGACTGGAAGATTGCTGGTTTCTTTGATTTCATTATTTTGATGAGCAGCTGATTTCATCATGATGCCACATATATTATGGGTGAGCAAAAATTGTGTTGATTTTAGACATTTAATTTACGATTGAGGACTCCAATGGAAAAATGCCCCAGATAAATCAGAATCTTTAAGAAATAGGTTTCTTTTCGCTTGCTGCTTTTTAAAGAACCTTGTTTTTTGGCAAATAATTGCATGGATATCCCAGTGAAGTCCTGTTTTGTGTGCTGTGTATTGTAAGGCAAAAGAAATGCTATACTCACCATGACTACATATACTATTTTATATATATGAGATCCGAATGGACTTGTTAACTTTGAATTTTCATTTTTTCCTTTTACTTTTAAAATATGGTTTATTATTTTTATCTGCTTTTCTCCACACTGGCATATTGTGTGGCAGTAAGGTGCTTTTCTGTCGCACAAGGCTATCAAAGTTCGAATCATGAGTAGGGAGAATTACAATTTTATCAAGTATCTTCATCTGCTGAGATATTGTAATCCCTCCAAGCCCTAGTTGGCCCTATCAGGCAGGGTCGGAAGCCCTCCTCCAAAATGATTTAAATTGTGTCGATGGGGGAAGTAAAACACCTACATAAAAACAATAAATTTAGAACAATTGGGGGGAGAACAGAGAGGGGAGAGAGGGAGAAAGAGAGAGAGAGTGGAGAGAGAGAGAGAGTGGAGAGAGAGTGGAGAGAGAGAGAGAGTGGAGAAAGAGATAGAGAGAGAGTCCTCCATTCCATGGTTGTGTCCCCAGCACTCTGGCCGGACCACGCCCCGCCTCTACCTGGTCCTCAGCCTGACAGTGTTACAGACGGCCAGCCTCTACCTCTTTGTCTTCCACGTCTCCGCACAGTCCTCACAGGTAAAAAAAAAACCCACACAGGGAGAATTTACCTTTAGTTTACACCATCCGCATGGAACTTCCTAGCAAACATCTATCGTCCTTATCTCTCCTTCTTTCATCCTCATCTTTCGTTACTTTGTAAGTTACTATTACTTTTGTATTGTGATTCTATAGTGAATAGTGTACCAATGTCTGGGGGGGGGAGGGGGGGGGGGGGGGGGTTAGAGACTTTGCCATTACACGCATGAGACCTGAGTTTGATTCTTGGATGGGCAGAATTTTTATCTGAAGTATTTCAAGTCCTTCTGCTGGGATATTGAATTGTATCCCTCTCAGCCTGAGTTGGTTCCGACATACGTGGTTGAAGCCCGCATGTTAATTGATGTAAATTTTGATGGGACGTACTATCAATTTCTTTTTTTTTTTTAAACCTCACTAGAGACACTTCTAATCTTTGGCATTTATATAAGGTATTTGTGGGTGGTTGGCGAGTGCTCTGGTGTGGTTTGCTCCTTCTTTCCTATAAAAAATCTCTCTTCACCATCTCCTCTACTTCTTTTTTGTGTTTGTTACTCTCTTGTAACACTTCTAATATTCGGCACTTATATGACCTTATTGTGTTGCAAATGCCATAAAACTCTTACAAAAACTAAAAGTAAACATTACTTTTTCCCAGCACTAAATGACCATTATTATGTCGAGGTGCTTCTTTTTACTCATACAGTCAAACAATTTGAGTGTACTATAGCCCCCGTGTGTTGTATATATACGACCAGGTGTGGATCAGCGCGCTGGCGTTCTGTGTGGGCTTCTCCATGTACTCCTGTATCTCCCTGCTGGGAATCTGCTCAATGGAGGTGGCGCCCGAGAGTTTATCGGGGACTGCTCACTCTATGGCCGCGCTCGGGGGAAACAGTGAGTACACACATGCATGCACACACACACACACACACATGCACACAAACACACACTCACGCATATATACATCTTTCTGCTGGGGATTTGCTAAATGGAGGTGGTGGGGACTACTCACACTATGGCCGCGCTTGTGGGAAACAGGGAGTAAAAAATACTCCTACATACGTGAACACACCCGCTTGTACTTAAGATTGCACTGCGCGTTTTCACGATCGTATAATTCCTGTGAGCTCTTCGGTTTCATATATGTTAATTTTAATTTCATATTTTTACGCTTTTGAAAATATTATGTGAATGTTCCTTGATGTGAGTAAAAAAAAAGAATAAAGATAGAAGTAAATTTTTTTTTTTATTATTTCAAAAATACAAAATGAATTAAATGTACTTTGTTAACTTTGAATTTGATACCTGGCTTTCTATCCTTCTTGTGAGTTCTTCAGTTTCATACATTTATTGTAGTTTTAATGTTCTCATTTTTACCGTTTTGAAAATTAAATATGTGTGTGTGTGCCTAAAGAAAGGATGTATCAAAAGTTGCCACAGAGCATTTTGAGCTACAGGCTGATAATGACAAAAAATCCCTTTTTTGACTAAAATGTGTTTCCATTAAAAAAATGATAGTTCCACCATTTTTTTACAATGTGTTAAAAGGGTTTTCATTGATTTTACTTCTAAATATTTTATTTTGAATAATTTTGCGACTTGGGTACTTTTTAAAGAGATAATGAAAAATGCTTTTAGAAGGTGTTAAAATCTATTCTTGAAGCATGGTTTCTCTTCTAATCTTCAGCACTTACATGACCAATTTATGTTGCAAGGGGTGTATGTAAAACTCTTATGGAAACTTAACTCTCTAATCTTTAGCACTTACATTACATGACCTATATATGTGTTGTATGTAGCAAGTGCCGTAAGTAAATCTCTTACAAAAACTAAACTTCTTCTTTCAATTCATATCGAACATCTATCGTCCTTATCTCTCCTCCATTTTTTGTTGTATGTTACTCTCTTGTAACACATCTATTCTTCGGAACTTATATGACCTTATTGTGTTGCAAGTGCCGTAAAACTCTTACGAAACTAAAAACAAAGATTTTCCCTGGGTTCCCCAGTCGGTCGTGTGTTGGCCGGGTACCCGCTGAGCGTTGTGGCCACCTGGTGGTCGTGGCAGGAGAGTTTCTACCTGGCCCTGGCGTTCAGCGTTGCGTCTGTGGCCGTGACCGCGCTGGGCTGCAAGTTGCTGAAAGACCGCTACCGACGACGGGAGGAGGAGGAGAAGAAGCTCAAGGCCAGCTAGAGAGAGAGAGAGAGAGACTGAGACGTGCATGCGATGAGATTTGGTTGGCGGAGATTTTTTTGTGTTGATGGACCGTCTTCCACAGTTTCTGCCGGTGGATGTCTCGGTATAAACATATTTCTGTCCCCGTCGTTTTATGCAAGAAAAATTCTGAAATTATGCAAACTGAGCCCAAAAATGTGAAATTATGCAATTCTGTTAATTTTAACTGAGCCCAAAAATGTGAAATTATGCGATTCTGTTATTTTAACAAAGTGATAAAGGGAAATAATCAGAAATTATGCCCAAAATGATCAAATTTTACTAAATTATGCGGGGTGCATAAAACCACGAGGACTGATATTTGATAGAGAACCAGACAGACACTACTGACGACGGTAAGAGTAACCAGATTTATTTATTGTGCCCGGTACCTACCCCTAAGTCTCCACACATGTTTGGGTATATGTAATAACGTAATATATATAACAGTGAAGTCTGCTTAAACCGAACACGGTTTATTCTGAAAACAGCGGTAAATCGAAATAAAATAAAATCCCCGAGTTTTTTTTGGTCTTCTTTTTGAGCAACCTCTTTTAAACTGAAATCCCTGCTAAATCAAAGAATTTCCTGTAATCCTGCAGATTTTGGTTTAAGCGGACTCTATTGTCCAGGTCTATATATTATTATATAATATTATATCATGAGCCAGCTGTTCAGATGTACTAAGCCCAAAATTGTAGATTTTGGTTTTTTTGTGTTTTTTTTACAGCGTCTTAATTTAATTTGTGGTACTGGTTGTATGTACCCTAACGAATATTTTGCTGAAATTCAAATTCTAAATGTTGAGAAAAAAAAAACGAACGAAAAAAACCCCGGCCAAAAACGTAATGTAAGTAGGCCTAAAAAAAATTTTTAATGGAAAAATGAAAGTGTTTTTCTCTCCAGTTTGTTTTAGTAAGAGTTTTACAGCACTTGCAACACAATAAATTCATATAAGTGCCGAAGATTAGAGGTGTTACAAGCGAGTAACAAACAAAAAAAAAGAAGGAGGAGAGATCAGGACGATAGATGTTTGATAGGAAAGAAGGAGCAAACCACACCAGAGTATACCTGCCAACCACCCACTTTTTCTCTCCTTAAAAACTGTGTAAATGGCTTAGAAAAGTTGAACAGCTTGCAAGTGATATACTGGTATATAAATTTACTAATTACCTTGTATGATTTGATATACAGTATACAGAATATATATATATATATATTTGAGTAATTTACCTTCAGTTACAGTCCCAGTCCAATTGTACTTTTTGTGTGCAACGACAATGAATTTGCAGTGACACTCTCCACAAGTCCATACCCCACCCCCCCTTCCCCTCCCCCAAGCAAGAGAAACGATATATAATGAATATATGAATGTACTCTCCATGACAAATAAATCAGGGTAGAGTGTGTATTATAAATGTGTATAGCTGCCAACCATAGTACATATTTTAAAAAACATATTTAAGTTGTTTTTCAGGGTCTGAGTACGATAGTCTGTTTTCCTTTTCATGTTGGAAAACACCTCTACTGTTTTTTAGTAGGCCTATTGCTCCTCATGGATTTGCCAAAGCCAAAGAAAAAATATTCAACTTTTAAGGCTGGATTTGCGAATGGTAATGAGACTGAATCCCATTGGTCAATTGAGCTCGTGTCTGTTACGGTACCACAGTTGACTATTGATCATGAATTTATTGAATGCAAAAAAATGAGTCACGACATGGTGGAATCTGGCGCTCGTCAATTTTTGGGCATATTGAGTTATTGGTATCATCTTAAAGCCTGGCCATTTGCCTTGCTTTTAGTGAAAAAAGTATCCATCTATTTTGAATAGAAGTCGAGATATTTGCGATTGAAGGAGGTCAAGGTCGCCTGGTTTCAGAGGTGAAATTAGCGAGAAAATAACCTCCAAAGTTTTGTTATTTCCATAGCTTGAGAGTCCTTTGAAACTGAAAATTGACATTTTTTGGGCCTTTAGTCAATATTTTTTCAGTAAAATCCACACAGAAATGTATTTTGTGCTTTTAAATGGATATATAAGGTGCTGAGCAAATAAAAATGTAAAAAAAATTTTAATTAGAAAAAAATAGCTCAACGGTCAGAAAAATGCCAATTTCTTTTGATTTCACTTTGTTGATGAGCGCTTGATTTCACCACGATGCCTCACAAATGTGTGTGAAAGGTTTGGAGAGAGAGGGGGGGGGGGGGGGGGTCACCGTTACTATAGGCCTATGTCCACGCACTGTCTTGACCCCCCGTGTAGGGAGAGGTTGGGTTTTTTTTCTTTTTTTTCTGGGGTTTTTTTGTTTTTTGTTTTTTTGGAAAAGTTGGCAGCTATCAATGTATGTGTATCCAATGATCTGTGCCATGTTTGCCTGTGTGTTTCCAGGCGTCTGGGAAGTGTGGATAAGTTGTTGAAACATTACATTATGCTGTTGTTATTGTTGAAAATGGCAATAAAATTTAAAGGGTACTTAAAACTGTGACTATAAATTCTAAACAAATATTATTTTTTGATGTACACGAAAATATTTTTTAAATCCTTCTGTTTTTGTGATCTTCGAAGTCCAGCTAGAAAAAAAGTTGCCCGCGAGTTTTCAATAATTTTGATACACTGTTTCCGAATTTTATATAATTTTTACGATAGGGCGTATTTTTTCGAGAAGTTTATTTTTTATAAACAAGAATCTATCACCTGCAGGCAGTAGACAGTCCAGAGTCTGGACACCCAAACATCAGGCTATGCCCAAATTTTATTGGCGCCAGCCAGCCGTACAGTCTGCCCCGCCAGCAGGTCGCTAATGATAAAATTTTCATTGAATACAGCGCCCTATCATAAAAATAATTTCAAATTCAGAACTACGGATTCTAAATTAACAAAATGACTCGCATATGACTCATTTTCTTGCTGGGTTTTGAAAATAACAACAAAAAAAAAAGATTTTTTTTGCAATATATAATGTATTATAATTTTTTTTATCCCTCAGTAGATGGCATTCACTGAATTTGTAATAACCCCTTAAAGAAGTGGCATTTTCCAAGCACCACTCTTAAATGCTATATAGCACCTAGTGCTACAACTCAAAGGAGAAACAAATACAAACTTCAAAAACTCATTTTATATTTATTATTATTATAGGTCTCCAATATTTGATAATAATGCTTCTCTATCAAAATGTAAATCTGAACATGAATGGCGTACACAAACAAATGAAAAAGATCAAATAAAAATAAAAAGATTTCTTCTACAGTAACAATTACGAATGCTGAGATACGTACAAGAGACAACACTGAGTATACAATAAGTGATGTCACAAGGAGGGGGGGGGGGGGGGGGGGCACATATCATTTCTCTCACAAAACGCTCAGTGGCTCGTCCTGACCTGCCAAATACTCAAAGTCAAAGACAAAAAAATAATTTTAAAAAAAAAATTAAAAAAATAAGAGTTGGCCTCAGAAAATCCTTTAATAAAGAAGTTTTCTTCAGAAACCTCCAAGAAATTAGTTTTCCTTAGAAACCTCCCAATAAATAGAAGTTTCCCTCAGAATCTTCCTACTCATTTAGAAGTTTGGAGAAAAAAAATAAAGTCTCTAAACCCCATGAGATTAAGATAACGTGGCAAAGAAATGTGTAGACTATAAATAATAAATTTATACAATCTCACAGACACATGACATGGCGCAAAAATAAAAATATGTACTTTCCCGTCATTAATGATGTTACATACGACCTGACAGAAACAGAAATCGAGAGAAAAAAAAAAGATTTTATGCAAATCCAATGAGAGTTCTTCATTAGACCCCCCCCCCAAAAAAAAAACAACAACAACAACAACAACACCATTTGGCAGGTCTATAGAGCACATCTTGAACAACTGTGTCCTCACTACTGCACTCACACACATACACACCATGTCTATCACCATCACTATTACCCCACACTCACCACGTTTATCACTATCACTATCACCACCATCACCTCACACTCACCAAGCCTTTCATTATCACTATCAACATCTCACAATCTAATAACGTCTATCATTATCACCACCATTACCTCACACACTCACCATGTCCATCATCATCACTATCATCACCTCACACGCTCACAATGTCTATCATTATCACTATCATCACCTCACACACTCACCATGTCCATCATCATCACTATCATCACCTCACATGCTCACAATGTCTATCATTATCACTATCATCACCTCACACGCTCACAATGTCTATCATTATCACTATCATCACCTCACACACTCACCATGTCCATCATCATCACTATCATCACCTCACACGCTCACAATGTCTATCATTATCACTATCATCATCTCACATGCTCACAATGTCTATCATTATCACTATCAACATCTCACAATCTAATAATGTCTATCATTATCACCACCATCACCTCTCACAATCTGATAACGTCTATCATTATCACCACCATCATCTCACACACTCACCATGTCCATCATCATCACCCACAAACTCACAATATTATATCCATCTCCTTGTCCACCCAGCCACACTGACCGTCCTCCCACACCATACATATATATTATATATATATATATATATATATATATATATATATATATATATATATATATATATATATATATATATGCTGACCAAAAACACACCTGCTCGCTCACTCTGACAGTAACACACACAATCCCTGACCCTGACACTCCGTACCTCAAAGGGGTCCATCAAATATGCCTCACACACACTCTCTCCTGTCCCCGTGGTTTTATGCACCCCGCATAATTTGGTAAAATTTTAAAAATTTTTGCATAATTTCCGATTATTTTCCTACATTATTTTTTGTTAAAATTAACAGAATCACATAATTTCACATTTTTGGGCTCAGTTTGCATAATTTCATTTTTTTTTTGTTGCTTAAAACCACAGGGACAGTCTCTCTAGTCTCTCTCTCCCTCTCTCTCTCTCTCTCTCTCACACACACACACACACACACACACAAACAAACACATAAATACACACAAGCTTGCCAACTTTTTCTACACCCAGTCACAGACACCCAATGTTAAAACACCAGATTACATAACGACGAACAAAATTACATTAAGTGGGACTGGTTTTGATGTAGTTCAGTTAATAAGGAGGTGTAGAAGATATCCTCTCAAATTCCCAACTACCGA